TTTTATACAATATATATCAGCAATCCATGAAAGCTTTCAGCAGTTGATAAACCAGATAGATTACAGTTACATGATTACTACTTGATAGTAATGTGTCAGATACTCACTTCGGTGTTTTTTCCTGAAGATGCTCAAACGATAATAATCCTCTGGAATTGACACTTAACACTAATTCCTGATTCTCCATGAAATCTACTCTAAATGGATTAGCTGTCAATACCAATGTAGATTTACCACTATCACCCAGAGATATTTCGATGGAGTTATAATCCTGTTTCTCTATCTTCAATCTGTGTATTTAAAGTGAATAGATTCAAATATTGTTGGTTGTCGTGGCAATTCCAAGTCGAGTGGTGATTAAGAAGCATAACAGAATATTGTTTATCAAAATAAATTCAAAGTGTATAATAATTAAGATATGCTTACTTTGTCAAGTGTGGTTCATCCACCAACACATCAGGTACTTCATATCTTGGATTTATTGGATCAGCTTCATTTATTTTCAACCTTGCTATATTGTTTTCTATTGATATTAGTTCTAAAAGTAATTCTTTGTTGTCTATAGTGTTCAATAGTTTAAGACTAATAGATGAGCTGTCTATTTGCAAGGTATTTAGTTGTGCAATATACATGGTGTCACCTGTCTGTAACTTTCTGTTTCGCCTGAAATAAACAATTGAAAAGATTAACAATAACTAATAAGTTTCACACAGATACAAGATTTAGGCAGAGGGTTCGAGGCAGAGAAAAAGCTGAGTGAATATCCAGTCATAATGGCATCGCCATATGGCCTCGGTCATGTGGTTCGTGACGTAAGGGAAATGAATCTTGGGGTCATGGGGCTTCCCCTGACCTAGATTCTATCTCTCCATCATTGGCAGAACCACTGATTAATGCCTACAGTTCAAAATAGTCATTTTGACTGACCGGAGTCTATGGTGGGTAACTGAACGTAGTGAATTTGCAGTGTTCTGTGCATCAAATCACTAACTAAGAGAGCATTTCATTTTTTGTTTTGCTCTTAATAATTTTGTATGCTATTACATGTACACAAGCTTGAACACATATGCCATTATGCAAATATTTTCTGACTATCCAATCGACATGTAGCCATACATTTTGTACACCCTTTTAAAAGAGATAACTGGTAAACCTTCATTACTTACCTACAAAAACTACTTTGCTGACATGTCTTAAAATTATTTTTGTCCACTGTTTGGACTGTATACCATAGTACCATAAATAAAAGTAGAAATCTCATTATATATCTGCAATAAATAATAATAATCATATTTCCACAAAACTGAATTACATATTGGACATTCCACTGTTAAAAATAATATCTTGTACTAAGGATTTATAAGAAAAGGATATGCAACTCATGTGATGTGCCAAACATTCCCTGTTATAGCAAGCGCAGTGAAAGCAGCTGAAGGCTGCTTGTCATAGAGCTTGTTACATAAACAGAAGAAAATATGGAAGAAATCTATAGGAGATGTAATTTTGTTCGAGACAGTCATTCATGATAAAATATCTTCAGAATTTTATGACAATGGCTTGAAAACGGTTCAAATCATGTATTTGACCAAAGTCATACACTTGCAGCAACGTCTTGAATCCCGCTCAACTCGCATGTGGACTGCTGGATATTATTATAGCAAGTGCAGGAGGAGCAGCCTTTGTGATAAAACATCTTCAGAAATGTTGTTAAATGGTTAGACAATATTTTTGGGGGAAAAGAAGTGAAAATAGTTTAACATTGAATGGTATCATTTTGGGCAGCAGCGACACACACGTCGTGTGTGCCACCATCTTGAACCCCACAGTTGAAATAATAACTTCATGCCTACAGATTATGCTCTTCAACGTTTTATGGTTACGTCAGTTTTATAGTAAATAACTTATCGACTGCACTAAGTCGTCAGGCATTAACTGCTATGATTATTTTATTATAAATGAGGGTCATACCACTATCACCTTCCCCTAATCAACGCATTTTTTTTTCCAATTTAGAGTAGTCTAAGAGGTCACCTGGCCCCGGTCAAGCATTATTTGTGCCCTGGCAATGATCCAAACAGTTCAGACCATGAACACTTTAGTTCGATAGTCGGAGATAACATGGGATTCCATGCATGGGTCGGGCAACGTTTTTAACAAAGGATTTTCTGTTCGGAATAGTCAAGCTTCTTTCATTGTGCGATGTGTGCTAACGTTGCTTAAATTAACCAAGTGGCCAATAAGACTCGTCTCTTTTCATTGAAACAAGGAATGTCATCTGTATGTGTACTACAAGAGAAAAAACTGAAATAATAAAATACACGTCAACCTGTTATTCGTGGGCGCCGCCATCTTGAATTAAACCCTGGATGTGAAGTTAGCTCCCGTATCGGATTCGTGTTCGGATGCGCAATAAAATGAATTGAGGTTTTGAATATTCTTGATTACGGAGGGAAATGCGGTGTCAAACAATCGTACAATTTGAATATCATGTAAAATATGTTTTATGTTCATCAGTTCTCATAATTTGTTATACTTTTATTGCTATTGTGCTGATAGAAATACTGTATTTCTAAATAAGCAATAAATTATTATTATTATTTTAGGATGAAAGTATAATAGTTCTTATCTGGGTGTTGGTACGTGGGTGAGGTGCCGCCGGTGGGGCACTAAATAAGGTAACATTTTGGTCACAACGTTGAAAACACAATTTAGAGGTTAATTTACAGAAACGTTGTATTTCTAAAGCTGGAACGAAATAATCATGATCATAAATATGCACAACGTTTCAGTACGAGCACCGGACCCAGAACTTAAAACGAATTTGAATCTGAAACCGGGATTCTAACCGGCCAAATCTTTTTTAAAAAATGTTGATGGCGCCCCCATGGCTTCAAGAAGTTACATGTATTTCGAAGTTTCTGTAATGGTCATCAATGATATATTTGTGTTAATAGTCAAGCATTGCCCTAAATAGGATACAGGATTAGACATGTTTTGTGGTCATTTTCCTTTTATTACACAATTTACATCAGTTTCAGCTTCAGTTTAGTTTATTGAGTGCACATACAATTTACCAGGAGAAGTTAAAATGGTCACATACTAGTCGCAATAATCCAAAAACAGAATGTACGATATAAAATATATCTACGATTTCATGTGTTACTGTCTTGTATCAGTATTTATTTATTTTTTTTATAAAGGGCAATGTTTATGTTAATATTTTCGTTACTCATTAGAAAAATAAATTTGTCATTTGCGGAAATGGTCGTTAAAACGGTAAAAATTGGCGTGCATATATTTTCTTTTATCATTGTAAATAGGCATAGCATGATGAAGTGATGTGATGTTTTTTTTGAGGGGGTGTTTGTGTGTGTGTGTTTGGTCTTGAGTGCCGTTCTGATTCGATCTTTATGTAAATCATTATTGAAATACTAGTACTAGTTTTCCAGTTTAAAAAGCTGTTTGAATTTCTGTAAGTTTATTTTCATTAATCTCGTTTAATTTATCGTTTAAATGGTCAATGAATTGTTGTTTTAATTTGTAATTTTCTTTGCTCAGTGATTGTGAGTATTTTGTTTGTATTTATATATCATCTGTGTTTCTTTGATGTTGTCCAATTATGTCTTTATAACACCGAACCGAACTATTTATTCTTTTACTGCGTGTTGCTTCTTCCTTTACTAATTCGTTAGACGAGTTCATCTCCCTATTGTATTTTATTTGTTGTTTCTGTGTGAAAACGTGGATGTTCCCCCTAAATCTCTATATATGCCCGTTGTGTGGGTGTTACTTCTTACTTCCAGAACGAATCTGCAAAAATGTAAACGAATATCTTCGACCGTAGAATTGTACGCACTTTCTTATTCCCCAAACCTCACTGCCGTAAACAATTATTGCGCTACTTGTGTATGCTTAGATTTGATAAACAACGTGACCCAGTATCTTATACTTATACTTTATTAAACACATAAAATTCCCCAGGAGGAATTAAAATGGTTACATTTACACTAAACAAAACTAGACTAATAATATAAAACATTAAGACTAAAGTAATGATTAAATAATAATAATAATAA